GACGGCGAGAAAGACGAGCGTCTGCAGCAGCTGAGGGACGAGCAGCAGCAGCAGCTTCTGGCTCTGAGGCAGGAACAGTACTACAGTCAGAAATATCTGCAGAGAGAACATATCAAAACGGTAACGTCTTCGTTAAACCTCAGTGTGACCTCCCACCAACAAATAACTACAATTACTATCATACATTTTGATTACAGTCAAATCCCAGCACTCTTTTGTTTTTACAACACAAAGTTTAGTATTTAGACTGTTTGTGTTTCCTCCAGCTGACGGAGCGACTCAGCAGTTTGGCCGAGGAGAGTCACAACGCCCAGATGAGGAAACTCAAAGACATCTGTGACAAGTAAGAAAAACTCAAATGAGGGAAAACTCGATAGCGGGGTCGTGAGCTGTAACCTTTCTCCTGCTGCTCCAGGGAGAAAAAAGAGCTGAAGCGACAGATGGATCGAAGGAGAACGGAGAAGATCAACCAAGCGAAGACCAAAGAGAAACATCTGGCCGAGGAGTACGATCCACAAACACACAGATATTTATCCACCGCACCCTCGACTCCTGGCGTCTACTTCACAAATTCACGCAGCTGGTTTAATCAGACTCAAATCTTAACGGAGCTCAACTCCTCTGTGTGTTTTCTCAGGGAGAAGATCGAGATCAATAAGTCCTACGTCAACGAAGTCGTCCAGAACATTAAACGGGTGAGTGGAGGGGGATAGATCTGGATGAAACAAATTCTTTATGGGCTTTTATTCTATACACTGAAAACCACAGAGGAGGAGAGAGATTTTTTTTGTACGTCATGAATAAAGTTGAAATGCGAAGAACAAATATGCTTCAAACATTTATTCTTGACATTTCGACTTTATTCTCAAAAAGTAAAATCCGCTCGGCCCAGATAGTTTTCTGTTCCTCATGAGACTCTTTGACTTGCGTCTCCAGCTGGAGGAGACTCAGACGAAGCGTCACGATCAGCTGGTGGAGCAACACAACGAGCTCCTGCAGGAGATTCAAGACCTCAAACCAAAGGTAAGTCCTGTGTCTGACTTCCCATCATTCCCTGCTTCTGAAGTCCGTTTGTTTCTCGCCCTGATCCACCTCCTGCTCTGAATATTGTCCCTCTGGGGCGTCTCTTTTTCTTCTTCATGCATTCACATCGTCCTCTCGTCCCTCTCCAGCTGCAGGGCAACGTGGAGGCGGAGTTCCAGGAGAAGTTCCAGTGTTTGCCGGGAGAGATTCGAGACTTCCTGCAGGACAGGAAGACGGAGGTCAGAGGTCACAGCAAGTCCCGACCGTCGACCCCTCACGAAGCTCTGTCAGAGGAGGACTGAAGAGGAGGACACATGACGAAGGGATGAGAGCAGGGAGTGAGGGAGGAAACAAAAGAGGAGAAATCCAGATGAGAAAGACTGTTACTTTTCTTTTAATGGAAGAATGCTTTAACGTTTTTTATTTCCATCCTCGCATGCACTTTGTTTTAATCAGCTTTTAATCAGAATCCATTTAGTCTGCAACTGAAATCCAATTTGTACTGCATGACAACCATATCTATCTATCTATCTATCTATCTATCTATCTATCTATCTATCTATCTATCTATCTATCTATCTATCTATCTATCTATCAGTCTATCTATCTATCTATCTATCTATCTATCTATCTATCTATCTATCTGTCTATCTATCTATCTATTTATCACTCTATCTATCTATCTATCACTCTATCTATCTATCTATCTA